TATATATATAAATTTAAATCTACATTTGCGCGATATGATAAGCATTAATAAATACATACGTTCATGCTTTACAAAGATTTTATATCGCTGTGGTATTACAATGATTATTTATCATTTTCATTTGATTGCGCATGTATAATATTTCTAAAATAAAAGTGAAATAAATAATTTTTTTAAGTTTTTTGAATGTAGCTAATTATGAATATACAAAATGTAATAATTTTATATCTGTAAGTCTACAGGTATAAGAATATAAAGTTCTAAGAGAAATTAACTGTATGTATGGGTGACATCCGATCCAGTTATTTTCTTATGTTTTATAAAATAATGAAATCAAATACGAAAAATAAAATTTGTAAAATTAAAAAAAAATTGAGTGTTTTAATTGAATGTAACAACTTCTCTCATAAACTATTTAAAGACTGACTCAGTTTAAATTTTAATGGTTCAAATTATTTTTTAAATATTTATACATTGATGCCCATTTCTACTAACGTAGATTAACTTTAATTTCGGTTCAACTTACTCTTTGTCTTTTTCTAATCTTTAGAACTAGAAAAAGACGAAAAGTAAGTTGAATCAAGATTAAAGTTAATCTACATTGGTGGAAATAGGCATAAAACTCCTGTTTGCTCATATATATCATTATTATCTTAAATTGTGACTTAAAAGCGAGAAGATGCAATAAAAATCCTTGTAAATTATACATATTTGAAATATTATTATATAGAAACATTTTTTTAATAAAATAATTCAACCGATATATGCTTCTAGTTTATCGATTGTGTTCATGTACATGTACGGTCTAAAATAAGATTCTTATTGTTAATAAAATAATATTTAGAAAAACTTATAAACTTATGCCGAAGAATGCCAACGGAATAGTCTTATAAAATTATCTTTTTATTTTTGAAAAAAAATGAAATCATTTATTTCATTTTCAGATACAATTATTTATTATTAACAAAACAAAAAGATAGTTTTCGATATATTTTACAAGTCGATTCTATCGATTGTTGTAAATGTTGTTTTGTTGAAACATTTTCATGTTTCCCAGCAAACGAGAATGGATTAAAATGGATTGAAATTTTTTTCTATCCGAATGCGTATTTTAAATAGTGAATACTTTTTTTTGGATACTTTTTTTTCAATTAGATTCAGTTGAATGCAATTGGATTAAAAAACTGCATTTCCTATTCAAAATGTTGAATTGAACAATATTCACAATGTGTGTTGTGCACAAAAAAAGTTAATATTATTTTTAGATTGAAAAGCATAGAGACATGCTCCATGCAATTCCTATAAATGAATAAAAATGCATTCAGGATTGAAAAGTATTCATTTTAATCATTCGTGAATCAATATTTCTGAAAATCTAAATCCATTTGAATTCATTTCAATCCATTCTCGTTTGCTAGGTATAAATTAATATACAATAAAAATTTTGCAAAAAATTTTCTCATTTCTGACGTCACAATCTGAGATAGTAGTATTAAGTGAACAAAACACTTAATACTATTTGTAATTGGTTCATTTTGTTTGTTTAGTCTGTTAACAACACAAAAAATCAATTCATTCTCAGTCAGACAATAATGAGTTCAAGTTCCACAATTGTCATGTGCGTCACTATTAACTTTTCTAATACGTAAGTATTAAAGGATAAAAGTCAATTGATCAGATTACAAAAATACTTCTTGTATTCTTGATAATCAAGGTTTTTGTATGATAAGTTACTGTATTATACATACATACGTATATACATACATACGTACATATTATTATAATGTAATAATGGAGTTAGAAATTATAACACTAATATTGCAATGTAAGAATAAAAAACTTGTAAGAACAAAAAAATCTGTATACAAGTTTTTGGAAAAACAAAAGGAAATGTAATTTTTTGCAATTCGTAATATTTATTATAATTTTTATTATTGCGTTAAAATATTTTGGCATTCTGAAATGTTTGTTCTTTTTATTAAGGAAGATATAGAAAGTATAGAAAAAGGTTTCTAAAAAGATTCTGAAAATTTGTATAATTATTTGAAATAGTATATGAAAAAACAAAAAAAAATGGAAGGGGATGAAAATCTCAAGTTTCATCACTGCACACGTTACTGATTATGAGTATATATTTTGAGGAATGCAATTGGTCACTCTTGGTTAGTTCTATATCGTCTTTTGTACTAGACGCATACTCTTTGTGGAATATACGTGGACTGCGATAAGCATGTAAATTGTTATCGTAATACTTAAGTTCTCTATCTGTCATACGCGACTAAATACTTAAAGTTTCCTTTAATTTTCTTCAATTTTCATAATGATATATATGAGTTACACATTTCGACGATAAATTAACATACGTGGAAAGAAGATTTTAATATTAAGTTTAAGTTTGTAAATGGTGAATATACATATTGTTATAAATTATAAGCAAAATTTAAATCTACTTTTTATTAAAAAATTGTATTAAAGAGAGAATTAATCTGAAATATTTATGGAGAGATTGTTTATAAATCTTTTATTATTCAAGCAAACACTTATAGATTTGTAAAAATTTGAAATAAACTTATTGGTATTTTTTTGTATTCAAAGATATCTTTGGAAAGACATTTAAAGATATATATAAAATACAAAAGAGTATTATTAAAATAAGGCCGTCAAAAGACTATTTTTTGGAATACTTATTTTACATATTAAACTAACAATATAATCACAATATATTAGCATAAAATATTTTTAGAACGTATTATGAATGATTTTCGGAAGTTTATTCTCATCTGCTCTTCTCTCAATTCCAGCTTTCATTTTCATTAGTGTATTTTGCATACATTGTATTATATTATATACATATATCGTAAGTTTTTGCCAAGAGCTTTTGTGTAGATAGAGCGAACTAAATTGAATCGAAAAATCCTTTATCATTTTGCAATTTTCGTTAACGAGATTTTAATTACTAAAAATCACTGAATATTAGTTTTCAATAATTCTTTATTCAAATACTATCAACTTACTGAAAAATAGCGAAGAACAAAAATTATTTATTTTCTTTTCATAAAGTTCTGAAAATTTTTTTAGAATTTTTTCAGAATTTTTTAATACTGTATGTTCGCATATTGATAAAAATAAGAAAATGCAGTACTAAAAAGTTGATAAAAAATTCTGAAAAAATTCTTAATTCTATGAGAAAATAAATAATTTTTGTCTCTTGCTATTTTTCTGTAAAGTTGATAGTATTTGAGTAAAAATTATTCAATTGAGTAAAAATTATTTAAGACCAATGTTCAGCAATTTTATAGTAATTAATATCTTGTTAATTATTGCGAAATGATAGAGAACTTTTCAACTCAGTTTAGTCTGCTCTATTTACACAAAAGCGCTTAGCAAAAACTTATAAGATATTTTGTATATATATATAT